TAATCGTTGGATTTTTGAGCACGTCCTCGGGATTAATGGCTCGCGATTCCCCTCTCGAATTAGAGATTACGAATTCGCCAGCGGGGAAAAAGAAGCCTGGAAACCCGCTGGCAGAACCATTTTTTTTTTTGCAAGTTGATCCTTCCGGTTGAAACGTTACGACATTTTAGCAACCTTATCGAGAAGCTGCGGTCAAAGGAGTCGTCAAATTCGTTTGAAACCCGCAACTGATTATTTTACACGAGCTACTGCTCCTGATGGAAAATTCGAAGCGTGGTTCGAACATTGAGAAGGTAGAAAACGTGGCGTAAATAGAGAAAAGGAATTTTAAAACTACCGGTGTTCGGTAGACTGCGAATGTTTTATATAATACAATTTTTAGTCGAAAATCGACGAGACATCGGCGAGATTCGTCGCTGCGAGCGGTGAAACTGGTGGCGGCTCGAATCAGCGCATGGGAATCGAATCGCAATTTGTCACGATTGTTTGATCGGTTGTCGCTACGTAGCGACGCGTTTCGCAGATTTATAGCGTTACACGAAAGCGGCGGGACGATTAATAATATACATATGTACATACGAAGGTAGGAAATATTGGAAAAGTTGGCGGAGAAACAGTGAAGAGAATGTCGAAGGAAACGTTTGTTGCCATTAAATATTGTACGTTCACGAGGATCCTTCGTCGCGATTGAATATTATCATTACTATTGTACTTATCATTATTGTTATCGCGACTGTTACGATTATTTATTATCGTTAGCAATTCGCTGACTATCGTTACGATCGCTGTAGCGATGAGTCGGCGAAGTGCGCCGATAATCGACGCTTCGGACGAACGAAGGATAAAGAGAAGAATCAGGGTGAAGTGTCGAATGGATGGAAACCGACGATCCACGGAGAACGAATGAAAAATTTGTTTTAAATAAACAACAACGAATCACCGAGAATCTTCCGTTGTTAACAATGCCGATCTCTCTGTCTATCTGTTTGTCTATCTGTCTGCCTGTCTGTCTGTCTGTCTGTCTGTCTGTCTTGTCCGTCTGCCTGTCTGTCTGTTGTCTGTTTCTCGTGCGTCTGTGTCTGTCATGTCTCCGAAACCGAGTGCCACCTGCCCATCGTGTCCGTATTGTCGTGCCGTGCGTTTCTTTTTTTTCTCTCTCTCTCTCTTTTCACTATTCGTTCCGCGATAGCCCCTGCTGGATGATTCCTTTGGCGATGAAACGATCGTAATCGACGACGATAAGAATGACGAAACACGCTGGAAGGAGGGACGAGAATACGATCTTTCAGCAGGGGCCGCCGATCGAGCAGCGTCTCCGTTAGTGAGCGCCCAAGGCAATCATTTACCACCTCGAAGCGATCGTCGCGAGCCCCCGGAGCCACCGACGCATACGATAGACTGTACAGTAACTTTTACGAATCCCTTTGTACATCACACTCAGCGACAGTAGTGCCTAGTGAACGGACTAGCCGAAGGGGATGCGATCGATGGCTGGACGATTTGTCTGCCGGCGAAATTTCAACCCCTCTCGAATTTGTCATTTATCTCTCGACTTTGGTCTTTCGAGTACGAGTTTCATTCGTTTTCTTCTTTTCCTCTTTTCGTTACTTCATCAGCTGCAATGGTAGTCGGGAATCGGTCCAGCGACGAGTTGTGGATCCCCTCCGCG